ACCCTTCCCTCCCCCTCTTCCCAACCAGCCCCCTGCCTTCCATCCGTCATTCATTCCCCTTTGCCGAGCTCTGTTCAGCGAGTGAGTGAGGGGAGGGAGGAAGGGCCAGGTGAGCAGGTCACCTGGAGCATCATTCTCACCTGCGACCTCTGCGACCCGCACCTGAGAGCCTGCGCTGCCAGTGAGCTCCGGGGGGTGCGGGTGGTGCTGAGGCTGCGGGCGGCCGCCGGGTGCCAGGAACAGGCGCTGGCAGAGCCAGGCCCGGGGCGTGCGCAGGTCTGGCCAAGCCAGAGGGTGGCAAGGGGCCCTTCCCACGGGGGAGGGACGCCTGGAGGGTTTAGTTGAGGGTGAAGCTGTCCCCAGGGCTGGATCCAGAAGCTGAGCCAGGAGGCGGGAACCAGGAGGCGGTGGAGCAGGTCTTGGCGAAAGACCCGGGGACAGGAGGAAGGAGGAAGGGGAGAAGAGAAACCGTCAGGTTAGAGGGGCGTTGGGATGGGATGCAGCAGACCCCAAGGCCAACTGGACGCCAGGGAGTGAAGAGGGGCTAAGGGTGACCCCAGCAAATACCCCGAAATGCTGGGACACTGACCCGTTCCCACGGAGCCTTGCTGATTTTGTCTGTTCCCATTCAGTCCCCGCGGTGGTGTTTAGTGCCCAGTGGAACTCACAGGTAGGGTGAATGGATGGGGTGTCCTGGCTTGGATCTGGGAACAGAAAATAAACCAGTGAAATCTGAATAAAGTCTGCGGTTTAGATAATGATATGGCACCACGTTAATCTCTTAGTCTTGACAACCGTCAGGTGAGAGTTTAACACGGGGACACTGTTGAAGGGCATCTTTGCAACTTTTCTGTCAATCTGTTTATTCCAAAATTTTAAAAGCTTATTTTTAAAAAAGTGAAGGAGGAAAAAAAAATAAAGAGGACAAAAATGATGGAGTCTTCCAGCTCAGACAAGAGAGTGAATTGGAGAACGCTAAAGCTTTCCTCTGTGGCCATGCAGAAATGTCCTGTGAACTTTCACAAACATCCTTTTCGAGGCAGGCTGGGCCAGGTGTGGGGGTGCACACCTGGAATCCCAGCGACTGGGGAGGCTGAGGCAGGAGCATCACAAGTTGACCCGGTCTCAGTATAAAAAAATAAAAAGGGCTGGGCAGAGCCCCCTGTGTTCCAAACCTGTACTGCAGAAATAAAAGTAAATATAAAGACAATAAAGCTAGGTTTATTGTCTGAGTGGCACCGTCTCCATAATTCAGGGGCTCCACACACACCGGGGAGGGGTCAAGACCTAAAGAAGAAACAGAGAGAGATACTCCAAAGAGAATCTCTTGGAAGTTTGGAAATGGTGCCGCCTTGGGACGATTCATTCCAGAGTCACCCAAGTATCCGAGGGGTTGAAGCAAAGAGGTCCAAGGGAACCCTGCCGAGGATTACATAAATTACTTTGAAACAAAAATCCTTGGCTATGAGGACTAGCATCAAGGGTGACAGGCAGGTGCTGGGCAGGTATTTTTTACCATAAGGTTGTGGGGACCTTGGTGCAGAGCTATGGTCCGGCGTCATCTTTAGTGATACATGCCTAAGCCGCCCTTCTTGGTCGCCTCCTGGCAGCTTCTCAATCTCAGTTCTGTGGACCGTTGGGGTCAGATTATCCCAATGTGGGGAGCTGTTCACTGTAGGTGTTTAGCCGCACCCCTGGCCTCTACCCCTTAGGGGCCAGTAGGGCCACCTCCCCCCAGCGGTGACAACCAACCATGTTTCCGGGCATTGTCTTCTGGGGGGTTGAAATATCCCCTCGTTGAGAATCACTGCACAAGGGTGACCCACCTTTCCAGTTTGCTGGGGCTTGCAGGGGTGCCTGGGATCGGTGACTTTTTGGCTTTAAAATTGGGACAGTCCTGGGCATAGTAGAATGGGTGGGCCCCCCTATTTCCAACTCTATTGTAGAATGACACCAACTTTTTGTTGTGGTCCTGGAAATTGAACCCAGGGCCTCAGGCATGGTAGGTAAGTGCTCTGCCAGTGCGCTGCACCCCAAGCCTGGTAATCTGGGTATTTAAGATTCCCAGGTACCTTCAGGTGGGTGGGACTGGGGACCCGGGGTTTGATATTGTACTTCGCATTGATCATTCCAACCAACCTGGACAAACCTGGCCAAGTTCTCACCAATGAGAGTCCTTCCTATAAGGGACAGGTGGAAGGAGAATGGGAAGGATCTTCGGCTTCTCGTCCATGCTACGGGGGAAGCCGCTCCCTAAGTGGACCCCAGGGAGGGAGTCTGTTGAGTCTGTGTGGTAGGCAGTGCCCCGAAGTCCCCACAGGGAGCTCAGCCACACCCAGCGTTACTAGAGTCCTTAACCCTCTCAGCATATGCCACCAGGAGGTAAAGTCCTCCTAGTCCAGTGCTATCCATTGAGAGAAGAGGAGACAGAGACCCAGAGACAGGGAGGGACACGCTGAAGACTCTGGCCATGCCAAACAGAGCCCCGGCCCCCTTCGCCCTGCAGAAAAAGGATTAAGAGCAAATTCCAAAATCACCTGGCTCCATTTTTGATCCTGACACGTGCAGAAAGACTGTTGGCCAAGACTGACCAAGAGGGTGGGGGTCACCAGGACCAAGGGGCACAGCTGCTGCAGTGCGGGAGGGGACAGCCTGGGTCCCTGAGAAAGCCCAGCGGCTCTGACCAGTCCTGGGAAGGATAGCCTGGAACCCACCTGCTTGCTAGCTCTCTTGATTAAAGTGGCTGTCCCTTTCTGTCCCCAGAGAAGGCACCCAGAGGCACCTCCTCGCCTAGACACACACGCTTTTGGTTTTGCATTTGATTTCAGCAATTTCCAAGAGCCTTGCAGCTAATCACTAATAATCATGCTATCAAGGAGCAATCTGTATATGCCAGCCAGCACCTCCGCGAATTTATTTAGCCCAATCAATAGCCTCGATAAAATGAACCATTCTGGGCCCTGTTGATTTCCCACAGTGAAGCGTGATGCACCCTTTTCAAACAAAGGCTTTGCAGTGGAGAGGGCAGAGTTCAAGTCCCTGCTCTGCCACTTAGTTCCAGGATGACTCCAGTATCGAGGCCCCCCATTCCCTGTGTGTGTGCTGATCACGTCATAGATGCTCGGTGAATGTCACCCACTGCTCGAGGACTCCACCAGCGTGGCTCGTCCCTGTAGTGGCTTGCAGGCAGATTCCCCATGGCTGGATAGGAGGGACCCCAGGGGTCATCTAGTTGGACAGCCGAGAAGAAAAGGAATGTTCTAGAGTCTCACGGCAACTCGGGCACAGAGCTGGGGCTAGGACACTGGTTGGGCAGCCCAGGCTAACAAATCCCCCCACTTGTCTGGGCTCCCTGCACGCCCTTGAAAATGAGCCGTCCATCCCAGGGAGGGGAAGATTCTCGGCCTGTCTGCCTCTCCCAGTCAGTCCCCCTGAGTGGTGATTTCCAGGAAAAAAAAAAAAAAACAACTCTCCTAAAAGCTTCCCGGGGGGCTGAGACTTGAGAGAGCATTATTATCTCCAACGTGGGTTCCTTCTGTGTGGCTCTGCCGTGTTACCAGCAAATTCTGAAACCCCAGCCACTTAATGGGCAGAGGATATAAATAGCCCTTAGCTGTCGCTGTCGATAAACACGGGGAGATGTGCACCCTCACCAGGGAACCCAGAACTGCAGGTCGAAGCAAGATACCATCTTTTTGCTTATAAAATTTGCAAAGATTGCCATGAATATAATGACACTGGGCTCTGGTCGGGACAGAGGGAGACGAGTCCTCGCAGATGTGGCCTGTGGTAGTATGAATTGCTTTCAGGAGGCAATTTAGCAAATTGTATCAAAGCCTTCCAGATCTCTCAGAAAATCATCAGAAAGGCCGAAAAAGCTTTATGCACAAGGCTGCTCACCGTGGTGATGCTGTAATCGTTTTTTGTTGTTTTTTTTTTTTAAGGAAGAAATCTAATTATCCCCATATGAGAGAATCATTAAATAAACCCTAGAAGGGCCACTCGGGAGAGCATCTAAGAGCTATTTAATGTTTACAAGAAGGTATCCCGATGGGGGAAATGCTGATACTCCTTAATTTTTAGAAAACAGAATCCTGTCCTGTATCCACATGATCACAATTGCATTAGAAACTATCACTGTGTACGAACACAGCAGAATGGAAATGTGCCCAAGAATCCACTTTTTTCCAAGTTTGAGAGTGATACGTTACTTTAAAAATTTTTTTTTTTTGTTTTAGTTGTAGATGGACACAGAACCTTTGTGGTATTTATTTATTTTCATGTGCTGCTGAGGATCGAACTCGATGCCTCACACGTGCTAAGCAAGAGCTCTACCACTGAGCCCCAGCCCCAGCCCCATAAGTTACTCTTATTATTTTGAAAAATTTAGGCATGCATGGAAAGCCACTCAGCTCGTAGCAGGCAGGAAGCAGCAAAAGAGCAGTAAGTTCTCCATCCCCAATGACCCACTTCCTCCAGCCATGCCCCACCTGCCTACAGGTACCACCCAGGAATCCCTTCCAATTAATAATCCACCAAGTGGATTAATCCACTGATGAGGTCACAGATCTCCTGGTCCAGTCATTTCCCCTCTGAGCATTCCTGCATTGCCTGACACATGAACTTCTGGGGGTATCTCATATCCAAACCGTCACAGGCAGACACCCACATCTAACGTGACGGGGCACCTGTTATTTCCATTCTTGAAAAAATACGTCATAAATCATGGAAGCAACTTGAGCTCCACCAACCTTTCTTCTGGTCCATTTTCTCTCTGTCCTCAGCCCTGCCAGAGCTGCCCCAGACGTCCCTGTGTCCCCTGTTCTGGATGGAGTTCAAAGGCCACTGCTATCGATTCTTTCCTCTCAATAAGACCTGGGCCGAGGCTGACCTCCACTGTTCCGAGTTCTCCATTGGCAGGAAATCCGCCAAACTGGCCTCCATCCACAGGTGAGTGGACCCCCCCTCCCACGGCTCGGTCCAACCCAGGTCCCCGTGGGAAAGAGAGCGGAAGATAGTGTCTCCCACCAATATTTCTCTTGGATCATTGAAGCTACTCTTTATCCAGCCCAATTTCTCCTTGAATTCATCCTTGGCTGTCGAGGGCAAAGCATTTAGCTGCAGTAGCCAAGAGCACATTGGAAGACCTCTCTTTATAAATGCCCGTCCTGTCCACTCTGCTCTGCTGTGGATCACGGGCCAGAGATGCCCCTGACATAATACACATATAAAGAACACGATGCATGGGCCACAGGGAATCAGAGCTGGCTTTTAAATTGGAGATGGGTAAATGTACCTCATCACGTGGTGACTCCCTCATTTTAGGTAGATATTCTCATCTTACAGAAAAGGAACCCAGAAAGGTAACTGTTGCAAAGCTGTGAAGTGTGGAACTGGGTTCTGTTTTGTTTTTAGGGGGTTTGAGCAGGGGGGGGGGCGCTGTTGTCATTTCATTTGGTTTGGGATTTCATGATGCTGGGGATGGAACCCAGGGCCTGGTGCATGCTAAGCCCCCATTCTACCATTGAGCCACAGCCCTGACCCCAGGGGCTGGATTTGGACCTCAGCTGCATTGCACCCCTCACCCACCAAGGCCTCCCTCCCTGCGTCTCCCAAGCCCCAGACACACTGGCCACCTGGTCCTCCAGCCTGGTCCAGCCCTCCCAGTTCTCCTCTCCTCTGCTGGGGAGCCCTTCCCTCCCTACCTCCTCCTGCACGTCAAACACCCCCTCCACCCCCCGGGGTATCTCTGGCAACACCCCTTCACTAGAGCCGCCTCTGACTCCCGGCCCCCAGTCCCATTCATTAACCTCCCCCCCCCCCTGCACATCTCTCTGCACAGTTCAACCTCAGCTTTCGGAGCTGACCTCCGGCAGGTCTGTGAGTTTTTCAGAGCAGGTGCAACAGGTCCCCTTGGCTCTCGAACTACAAACTCTCCATCTGGCCTCTGTTCTTCATCCATCTCAGAGACTTGACGTGAGAAAGAGCGTTGGCGGGTTCCACTTAGACACTGTTGGTGGGACTGTAAATTAGTACCACCACTACGGAGAACGGAGGTTCCTCCAGAGACCCGGCCTGGGACCACCAGGGGACCCGACCACACCACTCCTGGCTCTCTATCCAAAAGGAGTCAAGTCATCATACGATAGACGCGCACGCATGCCCGAGGTGACAGCAGCGCGATTCACAAAGCCAAGTTACCCCACCAGACGAGGCGCCCACCAGCAGATCAATGGATAAAGGAAACCTAGACTGTAGACAAAAGGAAGTTTTAGGGCTGGAGATGTGGCTCAAGCGGTATGGCACTTGCCTGGCATGCGTGCGGCCCGGGTTCGATCCTCAGCACCACATACAAACAAAGATGTTGTGTCCGCCGAAAACTGAAAAATAAATATTGACATTTAAAAAAAAGGAGGGGAGTTTTACTCGACCATAAAGAAGAATGGAACTATGTGGTTTTCAGTTCAATGAATGAAACTGGAAAACAGCAGGTTAAGGGAAATAAATCAGACACATAAAGTCCAGGGTCACGTATTTTCTCTCATATGTGGAAGCTAGAGAGGAAAAGGGGGAAAGGGGACCTCATGAAAATAGAAGGGAGACACAATAGAGGAAGAGGACCCAGTGGGGGGGGCAGGCAGGAGGGGTGGGAAGGGGAGATGCTGAGCAGTGAATCTGACTGAATCATGAGCATGTATGACTATATCACAATGAATTCCACTACTTTGTATAATAATAATGTACAAGAAAGGGCACTGTTTCCTTATGTCTTAGGGTCACTGTGTTTTGTTAATGGAGAAGCCATCCTTAGTTTCCAAATGACTCTTGAACCACTGTCTTAGTTCATGTTGTGCTGCTATAACAAAATTCCTGAGCCTGGGTCATTTATAATGAACTGTTCTCACAGTTCTGGAGGCTGGGAAGTCCGAGAGCAAGGCACCAGTGTCTGGAAAGTGCTCTTGTGCTAGGTCATCCCTGGGCGGATGTCAGAAGGGGAGGGAGTACAGAAGACACAAGAAATTAGGCCCATCAGCTTGGCTCGTCGCTGTAGTGGCGTGCAGGCAGATTCCACACTGACCTTTAAAAGTCGTGGGTCTCTAGAAAGTTGATAGTCCATCTAAAGTTCTCACGCCGGGCTTGCCCAACTCACAGGCTCCATACAGGAAACTGCTGTCATTTTCGTTTATAATCGTTCTAGGGACCTCAGAGAGATTTTATTTCCTTAGCATTCCCATGTCAGGCCACCTTTCCAAGGGATGCAAGTGAGTCTTACCTCCCTCTCCTCTCCTGTTCCAATAGCGTCCTCTAAGCAACTCCTGGAGGGCCGTGTTCAGGATTCTGAGAGCTGCTAACCTAGAACGGATCAGCAATGTCTTCCACAATCACAGAACTAAAAAGAGGACACCTGTGCACTTTTAGGTGTCACCAACGCCTCAAGCCAAAGGAAATATTTCCATGGTGGACGTTCTTCTAGGCAAGATGGCCACCTTTAGAGAGCCGTCACTTGGAAGAAGCTAACCAGAGCCCATAGACCTTGTGGCCACAGGGGGTCCCTCATGATGATTATTTTATAATGACTTACTGGATGATCATGGGAATCATTTATTCGGTCGGGTCTGCCCGCCTGGGTCTGTAAACACTTTGAGTGACGTGTACCGAGGCTCACCCACTGCTGCTCACCTCCTTTACCCACCCCTCTAACTTGTGCAAATGACCATCAATGGGCTCGCTGATATCCGGGGAACTGGGTGAGTTCCCAAGTTTCATGTCCACTCCTGGCTTCGACCCAAGGAGGGAGGGCGGAAAACCGGGCCTCTCCCACACCCCCCTCCTTTCATTGACACCCTCTACGCACTTTCCCTTCTATCAAGTGGCCAAACTTGGTCCTGCGGCCACTGCTGGCTGCAGAGGAGGCTGGGGAATGAAATGTGGCTTCCTAAAGGGATTAGGAGTGGCGGCGGGGTGGACAGCCTGGGATGTCTGCCCCAGTTCCTGCCTTGTGCAGGGATGCGTATGAAACCAAGGGAGACCTGGCGTGAATCAGTGCTCCAGTCTCTATGTGCCTGTGAGCGGCCTGTCCTTTCTCTCTGTCCAGCCATCTATCCGTCCTTCCATCCTTGTACCTATCCATCCACCCACCCATGCTTCTGCCCACCCACCCATCTCTATTTATATGTTCTTCTTGGCATCAATTTCTTTTTGGGGGGTCAACTATTTGGTAAGCTCTTTGAAACAGGGGCTGGGAAGGCCCCAGGGAGACCCGGATGCCTTTCAAGGAAGCTGGGCTGTTTCCACTGCAGGGCCTGGTTTTGCTGAGTGGGCTCTGTGCAGATTCGAGCCTAGAGATGAACTGTCCAGGTAAACAGAAAAGAATCTGGAGGTGATATGTGGGGGGAAAATTTTTTTTTTCTGAGCCTGGGTCTCCCTATGTTGCCCAGGCTGGCCTCAATCGCTGGCCTCAAGTGGTCCAGTCTCCTGCCTTAGCTTCTAGAATAAAAGCCCATCTTGCTGCCCCTGGTTCGTGTGGGAATACAGTAGAAGACAGAGGGCGCTATACGCACTGGCAGCGTAAGGACCGCCTTTGAGAGGGGACAAAAGTGGCCAGTGGAGATTTCAATAAGTTCTTTTATGTGCACACGCAATCCCCCGGGGATTGAACCCAGGGGCGCTCAACCACGGAGCCCCCTCCCCAGCCCTTTTTTTTTTTTTTTTTTTATTTAGAGACAGAGTCTCGCTGAGTTGCTGAGGGCCTCACTAAGTTGCCGAGGCTGGCTTTGAACTTGTGACCCTCCCGCCTCAGCCTCCTGATTGCTGGGATGACAGGCGTGCTCTACGCACCCCCCACCTTCAATGTTGCTTTTAACATACCCCCCCCCCCCGCCCCACTGTCTGCTAGCATTTCTCAAATGGATTTACATTTTTAGAAGAAAAGCAGGCCACACACGGGCCACCTGATTAAGAAAGCAGGCTTCTTTGGTGCAGAGAATCTAGCGAGCGCCCTTCGCGTTTCCCCTCCACCCCCAGAGCCCAGGTAGGACTCACGCGCCCCGCGTTTCTCACCCCCACAGCTGGGAGGAGAACGTCTTTGTGTACGACCTGGCCAACAGCTGTGTGCCCGGCATCCCCACGGACATCTGGACGGGCCTCCACGATCATCGACAGGTGAGCGGGGCCAGCGGGCTCCCGGGGGCTCTGACCAAGGCTCTGGGCCAGGCTCCTGCTGTGTGACCCGGTGTAGAGGGAGACCAGACACCACGAGGCCACAGGAAGGGGCTATGGCCGCACAGTCTGGTCAGAGAAGGCCTCTTGTTCGGACTTGCGTTCTTGGCACCAGGACATGAGAGGGTCCAGAGACTGTGGAGGGGAGATGGGTGAGACGTAAAGCAGGTGGCATGGGGACAACTCTGTGGGCCTGAGGCCCATGGCTGCAGAGTGGAGGGGGAGGAGCTGCCACCACAGCCCAGTTCTGAGGTCTGGGCTAGGCCGGTGGGGAGTCCCCAGCTGGGCCAGCGTTGTCCCCCAGGCCTGCCGAGTCACTGCCGGGGGACAGCCTGGAGGACTGTGGCCTTGGTGTGACTCCAGGGCTGGGTCACAAGGGGCAACAGCGCACCCTCAGCTCCAGCAAGATGGTGACCACTCAGGGGCCGGAGGCTGCAGCTGTCAATCATCTGCCTCCTGCAGCTGGGCTTTCTGCTGTGCACAGCCCGGGGCCACAGCAGCCTCTCTGAGCAAGAAACAATTCAGCCTGTGTTTAACAGAGCAGTCGGAGCCAGCCAGAGGCAGAGAATTCCAGGTAGAGGGGACAGCATGGGCCAAGGTCCTGAGGCAGGAGAGCTGACCGCACCTTCAAGGTTGTTAAAGAAGATGAGTGTGGCTGGAGGGCGGGGTGGGGCAGGGTGGGCAGAGTGAAGGGGGGAAATAAGGCTGAGGAGGTGAGTCGGCTGCATCCCCTGCCTGGGATAGTCACCGCAGACCCCGCCTGAGATCCATCTCAGGCTTTCCCTGGGGGCGGCGGGGGGCTGTTCTAATGCTCTTGGCCTGCCTTGGAGCTCAATAGGGAACCGAGTTCCGGGTTCAGCTCCTGACTTTTATTGTGGTGGGTAGATCTTCACCCACCTGAGCTGGAACTTACTGGTTGGTAGGAGACGCTGGATTTTTTAAAAACTTCTCTTAGCCTCAGTTTTTCTTTCTGTCTGTGAAATGGAGATAATAGTGCCTTGTTTTATAAAATAAAGGAGTTAAAGTATGTGAAAGGCTTAGCATGGTATTTGGCACAGCACAGGATCCCATGAAGGATGGGGAATTGCTTCAAAACAGCCGAAGAAGCAGCGGGGCTGGAATCAGTATAAATATATATCTGGGGGGTGGGGGTGGTACTGGGGATTGAACTCAGGGGCACTCGGCCACTGAGCCCCATCCCCAGCCCTATTCTGTATTTTATTTAGAGACAGGGTCTCACTGAGCTGCTTAGCACCTTGCTTTTGCTGAGGCTGGCTTTGAACTTGAGATCCTCCTGCCTCAGCCTCCAGAGCTGCTGGGATGACAGGCATGTGCCAGCGCGTCCAACAGAATTAATCTGAATTAATCAGAATTAATCTGTCAGGAACCTATACAGAAGTTCTAACTTTTAAAATAAAACCCTAAAATTTCTATTTATAATAGCAACATTAAAGTTACACGATAATTACATTAAATTGGAGTTTAAGGAACTTGTAAGTCCTGATAATCATAACAAACAATACAGCATAAAGGATTGTGGGGTTTTTTCCCTCTTTTCTTTTCATGGCTGGGTTGAGCTCTGTGTTAAGCCCTTCACATCCTTGAATCCATTCAACCCTCACAACCACTCTCTGGAGATAGTAGCTCCATTATAGAGGTGCGGAAATGGAGACTCAGAGAGGTTGATTAACTTGTCCAGGTCACAGAGCTAGGAAGTGGATAGAGGAAACACTAACTGCACCTCGAGCCTCAACCCCTCTCTCTCCCCCCACCACACCCCAGGAATAACACACAATCTCCATGATGTAAAACGGGCTCCATGATCATCGGTGTTGGTGGGGGTGAGTTTTCTAAAAAGCTGAATGGGTGGAGAAAGGGCTCTGTTCCTCCACACGGCAGAGCAGTCTTTGTTTCCACAGTTAATTTGCACATTTATTGTAGCATCAGTCAGATTCCCAACAGGACTTTTCCTACAATCGGACAGACTAGTTCCACACCAGGAAAAAATAGCGATGCAGACTCTCTGGACCCGCAGAGACGCGGAGGGCCTGCCACCCGCGAGTCCATTGGGGTCCTGGGCACTGGAGCCGCGTGGGCAGAGCTGGGACTGAACCCCAGGGCTGCTGCCTGGTTCCCTGCGGGCAGCAGGTGACCCCCGAGGCTCACTGCGCTGGCCACGGTGGCGGCGATGGACTGCAGGAGCACCCCATGAGGAGGGACGGCCTCTCTGCAGAGGTGGAGGGGGAAGGTGCTGGGTGCTGCCCCAGCTGAGCTGGACAGACCCTGACGGCCTCTCCTTGCCTGCTCCCACCCTCCCCGGGGCCCCAGGAAGGGCAGTTTGAGTGGACGGACAACTCCTCGTACGACTACAGCTACTGGGACGGCAGCCAGCCAGATGACGGGCTCCACGCGCGGCCCGAGGAGGAGGACTGTGTGCAAATGTGGTACCGGCCGGCCAGCGGTGGGTGGCCCCCAGACCCACAGAGGCGCTGGGGAGGGGCCCGCGGCGGGGGGTGGGTTGGGGGGAGCTGGCAAGTTTTCAGCACCTTGGAGAGCGATCCGAGGTCCCCGGGTGCCAGGGGCAGGGCCCCTCTGGGACTAATGGTACTTCACCAGGTTGACATGAAGGAACAGGAAGAGGCTCTGTGGAGGTGGCTGTCGGGGTGGGTGTGCACTGTTAGACATCACCCTCACCATCCACAGCACTGTCACTCTCCACACCAGTGTTAAGAAATGAAAACTGTTCATGCTCCCACTTTGCAGATGAGGGAACTGAGGGTCAGAGAAGGTGAGCAACTTCTCTGAGGTCACACAATAAGCAAGTCATGGAGCTAGATTTCAAGCCAAGATCTCCAGATCTCCAGACCCAAGCATTTAACCTCTCTCCCTTCTTTTCCTGACCAGAGGAGAGTAGGATGGAATAGCAACTTATTATCCTGAGAGACACTGGGAGCCCAGTAACAGAGCTGGCCAAGGCTCTGAATGAAGTGTGTCCTGCCCGTCCCTGGTGGCAAACCAAGACCAACCTTACCAGGGAATAAGATCAGACTGCAGCCTTCCTGAGCATCAGCAAGGAAGGGCCACCAGTGTAGAGGCCAGGCCTACCAGAGAGGAGGGCTCTTACTCCAGTGGGGTGGTGAGGTGACTTTTATTGTGGTGGGTAGATCTTCACCCAGATGCTCTGCTTCTCCTCCATCACAGCTCTGAGGTCATGGAATGATAACGCCTGCAGCCGGAAGTTCCCTTTTGTGTGCAAGATCCCACCTCTGAGCGTTAACTGATGCACCCTTGGCCCCAGCATCACCGAGTAGCTGTACCTACTATAAAGCTGAAGCTGAGTAGATGCAAAATGCCACCAGAGGTAAATCTTATAGACGAGGTTTCTAACAAACAAGACTTAATTATTCAGGGTGGCCACTTGGCCAAGTGACAGACACCCAAATGGAACTAGCTCAAGAAACAAAAAGCGGTGGTGGAGGTACAGGTGCAAGCCCAGGGATGGGTCTGGATTCAGGCTGGAATCTCATTGGCTGGGTGCAGCCTCCTGCCCGCCCCGAAGCCTCACTTTGGCAAAGCTGATTGGCTGGGCACAGAACAGGGCCGAGGGGGCGGAGTTGACCGCATCCTAGGGGTTGAGTGGGGGGATAAGCAGATGCTGGGCGCAGGGCACAAGCTTTCGGTAAGGAGATGGACAAGTTCTGGAAATCTAGTGGATGACACAGTGACTGCACCTCGTAATATCACATTGTCTCTTGAAATTTGCTAAGGGCAGAGATATTAAGGATTCTCTCCAAAAAAAACAAAAGGTCAGTGTGTGCGATGATTGACAGGTTGATTAGCTTGGGGGGGCACCGTTCACAGTGTATGTTTGTATCAAAGCATTGAATCACACATTTCTATGGAGGGTTGGTCCCAGGACCCCGTGCAGATACCGCAATCTGATGCTCCCCAATTCCCTGCGGTGGAAGGGTGTAACATTTGCACAGAACCTCCGCACAGTTGCCCATGTACTTTAAATCATCTCAAGACTACTTAGAGCAACTAATACAATGGAAATGTCACGTAGGTAGTTGTTCTCTGTGTTATTTAGGGAATAATGACAAGAAAAATCAGTCTGCATGGTTGGTGCAAACCATTTTTTTTTCCTTTCATATTTACAATCTGCTGTGGGTTGAATCCACAGATGTGGCACCTACAGAGAGGGAGGGATGATTGTAAATACAAGGCTTGCCAATTTTACCTCAATAAAATAGATTGATTAACTCTCTGTCTGTGAGTGTGTGTGTGTGTGCGCGCGCGCATCTACATTTTTTTTTTTTTTCTGAACCAGATAGATCCAAAGAGGAGATTTGTTCTGTGAAGGAAAACAAAAATATCACCAGACTCATATATTGCTGGTGAGAATGGAAAATGGCGAAGCTTCTGTGGAAACCATTTGGCGTTCCCTTAAAAACTTAAAACATAGAACTACCACCTGACCCAGCAAGTCCGCTCCTAAGTCCGTACCCAGGAGAATTTAAACAGGTATTCAAACATGAGTGACCATAGGGCTGGGGCGGAAGCTCAGTGGTAGAGTGCTTGCCTAGCAAGTATGAGGTACTGACTTCAATCCTCAGCACCACATATTTAAAACCTAAATCAATTAATTAATTAATTAATTAAAGGCATTTTGAAAAAAGAATTTAAAAAAAAACATGAATCGCCATAGCAACATCATGTATAACAGCAAAAGAAAAATAGAAACAACCCCAATGTCCATCAACAGATGAATGAGTAAACCAAATGTGGTATGTCCACATAATGGAATATTACTTAGGCATGAAAAGGAATGGAGTACTGAGCCATGCTACAATAACCGGAATGAACTTTGAAAGCCAGTTACAAAAGATCATAAGGTGTATGATTCCATAACAGTCATGTATCACATAATGAAGTTCTAGTCAAGATGGGTAGCATGCATGAGGCAGCCCCATAAAGGTATTTTGTCACCAGGCACAGTGGCATACACTGGTAATCCCGGCTACTCAGGAGGCTGAGGCAGGAGGATGACAAGTTCCAGGCCAGAGTCAGCAACTTAGGGAAACCTGTCTCAAAAGGAAACTTAGAAAGGGGCTGGGAGTGTGGCTCAGGAGCAAAAGGTCTCGGATTCCATTCCCGGCACCACACATAACACAAAAACCGTCTATTGCTTAGTGACTCGGTGGCCTCCTGGTTTGTGTAAGGACACTCTACAATGTTTGCACATTGATGCAATCACCCAGTGACACATTTCCCAGAATGTGTCGCTCAGCTCCGTGCAGCTCTGTGTGAAATGTCGGGAAGCTGCTCAACTGTGAAGGGCAGGATGAGACGTGACTGTTGACAGACGCCGGGCCTCTTCTTGAGGTGACAGAAATGTTCTGCAAATAGCATCCTGGTGCTGGCTGTGCGACTGTGCGTGTGTCAGAAGGGGCTGAATTCTCCATTTTTAAGTGGTTACAATGATGGATTTTACATGATAGAAATCTTTGTTCAATTTTTTAAAATTTGACCAGAAGGAAGGAATCCATGCCAGGTGGAAAAACAAGAAATATTCATTAACAGGAAGAACATTAGTCAGGGAAGCAGGAGGTCTGGATTCTATTTTAGATCCCCTGAGCCTTGTATAGGCTTTAGGGTAGACCAAGGAAACTAAAAATTGGAGACCTTGGGTACCAGGGAGAACAAAGCATGCAAAAACACATCAATGAATATTTAGTAAATCGTGCTGCTTTGCAGCTTTTGCAAGAGGAGGCTTCTAAAAAAAGATATTAAGATGGGACTTTCTTATTGCTTCACAATTGACCCTGGGAGTCTACCATTGAAAACAACAGGTACTGTATGAGTGGACTTTGAATCACTATAATGAAATGCCTGAGGCAGTCAACTTATAAATAAAAAAGGTTTACTTTGGCTCACCGGTTCTGAAGTTACAGGCTGAAATGGATCAGCCTCTGGTGGGGGCACAGAGAGTCCGAGGTGAAAGGGACTCCATCTCTCTACCTCCAACCTCAAGTCAGCAGAGCTCTGAGAAATCGCTGCAGATTAGGAGGCAAAAAAGAGAGGCTGGCCTCTTGTGCTGGATGCTGGCTCTACAGAAAACTGCTGCCCACATCTGCTTCTCCACTTAAAAAAAAAAAAATGGGTCGAGGACTTCTGCCTTCATCCTTGGGAGTTTGGGGATACCGGAGAGGAAGATCCTTTCTACTATCTTCTATAATTCTTTGGTGGGGACCTATGAATTAAAAGACAGATCAAAAGGAAAAAAGGCACAAGAAGTTTTATGTGAAGACAGAGTCTTGCTAAGTTGCCCAGGCTGCAGTTTTCCTGCCTGAGCCCCCCAGGTGCCTGGGATTGTGGCTATGTGCCCAGCTAGGCAGAAAGATGTGACTGATGCTGTGAGACAGAGGGCCATAAATTCCATTTTACAGGTGAGAAAACCGAGAGTCGGGAGGGCTGAGCAGGGTCCCAACAGCGAGTTGAGCAGCCAAGCCAAGAGGCGGGACTGAAACCCAAGGTCGCCTGACCCCCAAAGCCCAGGCGTGAGGTTTCCAGTCGGTCTGGGTTGGGGGGACAGAGGGGATGCTCCAAAGAGCTGTGGGAACCATTGGACTAAAGAGTGTTTTCCAAGCAGTGAGCAGAGGTACGGCAGCTGACGGAGGTCAGTGAAGATTCCCGGAACCAAAAGGACAGAAAGATTGGCCCCCCCCCTTGGCTGGATGGCGCAAGGGAAGAGAGTTGCCGCCAAGAGCAGGGTCCCCAGGGCAGCCATGGTCCACCCGCGGCCCAGAGCGGGAGCTGGGGGACAGACGCCCCTCCGTCCCCCTTCCTCTCTTCCAGTCCCCTCTCCCAGGCTTCTACTGGGTGGACCCAACTGAAAGTCACCGGGAAGGGAGCTTGGGGACCAGGTCTGCAGCCTCAGAAGCTTCAGAGGGGCCTGGGGAGGTGGCATCTTTGGGGACACCACCCTGATGGCCCCATCCCGTGCGTCTGGGTCCTGACCTTGGCATAATGAGCCTCTGCTGTGGCTGGAAGCTCGGCTCCCTCCGGGCGCCCTGTGCTCTCTCTGGGCAGCACCAGGGCCTTTTAGCCGTGGCTGTCCCATCAGGTCACCCGGATGCCACCCTTCTCTCTGTTCATCTCGGCTGCTGATACACTGCTCCCCTGGACCTGTCCCCCTGCCGGGTGGCCCTCCAGGTCACCCAGGGAAGGTCTCACCCCTGGGCCCCCACCTTGTGCCCAGGGGGGGCTGTGTCTGTCCCACACATCACCAGGGCTGAGAGCCTCACTGTCAGTGGGACAGCCGGGGACCCCCCCCCCCCGCACCTTCTCGCAGGTGACTTCATGTGCTCCTGGGATCGGGGGTGACGGAGCCGGAAGCAGCCACTGAGACTGAGTTTTGAGGACAAGACGTTTATTAGGGACCAGAATCTGCAGAAGGAAGGCAGAGGAAGGTGCGGGAAGGAGAAGCTGCCGGACACACTCTCAGCCAACCCGGCAGGTTCTGGGCCATCAGAGTGGACAACGTGGAGCTGAGACGGTCAGGCCTTTAGACCTGAGTGTCACTGAGTCACCCCAGCGGGCTGACCCAGAAAGGACGCTCCCGCAGTTAAGGTAGCTCTGCGCTTGGCTGAGGCTGATCCTGAAGGAGCTGACGGCTGGAGACCCTCTGCCCCTCCTGCCACATTATCCCAAAGGAAGGGGTTCAGATCCCACCACGGCCACTTACTGTGTGACTTCTCGGGAGTGACTGAACCTCTCTGTTTCCGTTTTCTCAGTAAAACGAAGACAGAGCCACCTCCAGCTCTGACTCTGAGTTATCAAGTAGCAGCGGGGAAGGAGGCGTTCTGGATAGGTGACGTTTACCAGAAAACGAAGATAGATTTCTCCAGGGCCACAACTATCTCTATTTTCCCACTTGAGAGGGGAATCTTTCTGAACCCCCTTACACATCTCCCCGCTGCCTCAAGCAGAACTCGAGACTCCGCCCTTTCTTCCCGACTCCAGGTCACAGGGGCTGCAGCTACTTCAGGGTGTTGTTTCCCCTGTCTCCTGTCATCTCTGAGTGCCGCAGAGCCAGCCTCTGACAGCCCACAGACTGCCCGACCTTTCCCGGGTTGTTATGCAGAGATGCTGCAGGCGGGACGGCGGTCAGAGGGTCCTGCCTGAGAATAATCAGAGACAGAGAGAGGGGGAGGGACAGAGGGAGGGAGGGAGAGGCGGTGGCGTGATCAATGGTAAGCGACAGACAAACGGACAGATGGATGTGAGAGAAAGATACGGTTCTGTATAGAGAGATGACAGGCTATGACGTCATGGCCGTACGGTGACTACCATCTACACAGGTCTGTGTATTTGGGTATTAACTACAGGTAGACTACAGACAGGTAAGCAGGTGGATATCCCGGTCACCCCACTTAGGGAAGACAGGTGGACAGGCAGCTGATGCTCAGGACCATGGGGTCCCGCTGTATTTGACCAATCTTGAACCATTAGGCATTTCCGTCACATCCAGTTTTTCACTGCTAAAGAGAACACAGTGATGAGGTTCTCTGTACACACGTTTGGTCGTCCCCCTGGGGAGACAGTCCTGACATTGCTGGTTCAAAGGGTACATAGGATTGTTTTTTCGTTATAGAAACCAAGCACAAAGAGAGTTCTCTTGGAGATGGTGGATAGATTCATTGCCTTGATTGTGTTGATGGAGTCACAGGCAGGTGTATGTCCACAATCACCAAATTCTATACATTAAACCCGAGGGTCTCTTGTACAATTTTATCTCAATAAAGCTGACTTTTTTTCTTTCTTTCTTTTTTTGGATTAAACACCCAGGGGTGTTTAATCACGGAGTCACATCCCTTTTTATTTTTTTATTTAGAGACAGGGTCTTGCTGAGTTGCTCCAGGGCTTGCTAGGTTGCGGAGGCTGGCTTTGAACTCGTGATCCTCCTGCCTCAGCCTCCTGAGCCACTGGGATGACAGGCGTGGGCCACTGAGCCCAGCTCAATAAAGCTGACTTTTAAAAATACAGGTGAACTACAAAAGTAGACGAAAGTGTATCTCTGTGTGTGTGTGTGTGTGTGTGTGTGTGTGTGTCCACCACCCTACCAGCCATGAACCCCTACGGACTTTTCATAGCGGCCTGTTTCCTGAGCTTGCATATAACCAAGGCCATGAGAACGCACTCGTTTTCCTTCTTTCGGGCTTTTTCTTGAATCAAATTCCTGCATGTCTGATTCTGTCTGAGCAC